GGCACCACTTCTGTAGAAACTACTACCCTTGGCACCACTTCTTTAGAAACTACTACCCTGGAAGCCACTTCTGCAGGATCCACTTCGGCAGAAACCACTACCCTTAGCACTACTCCTGCAGAATCTACAACTCTGGGAACCACTTCTCCTGAAACTACTGCCCTTGGCACCTCTTCTGAAGAATTTACTGCCCTCGACACAGCTTCTACAGAAACTACTAATATTGGCACCACTTCTGCAGAAACTACTACCCTTGGTACCACTTATGTAGAATCTACCACTCTGGGCACTACTACCCTGGGCACCACTTCTGCAGAAACTACAACGCTTGGCACCACCTCTGCAGAAGTGACTACCCTGGGCACAACTGCTGTAGAAACTACTACCCTAGAAACCACATCTGCAGGGCCCACTTCTGCAGAAACTAATACCCTTGGTACCACTTCTGTAGAATCTACCACTCTGGGCACCACTTCTGCAGAAATTACTACCCTGGGCACAACTGCTGTAGAAACTACTACTGTTGGCACCACTTCTGCAGAAACTACTACCCTGGGCACAGCTTCTGCAGAAACTTCTACTTTTGGCACCATTTCTGCAGAAACTACTACCTCTGGATCCACTTCTGTAGAAACTAGTACCTTTGAAACCACTTCTGCAGGACCCACTTCTGCAGAAACTACTACCCTGGAAACAACATCTGCAGGACCCACTTCTGTAGAGACTACTACCTTTGCCACCACTTCTTTAGAAACTAGTACTTTTGGCACCACTTCTGTAGAAACTACTACCCTTGAGTCCACTTTTGCAGAAACTACTACCTTTGGCACTACTTCTGCAGAAACTACTACCCTGGAAAACACTTCTGCAGAAACTAGTACCCTTGGCACCACTTCTGCAGAAACTACTACCCTTGAATCCACTTCTGTAGAAACTACTACCCTGGAAAACACTTCTGCAGAAACTAGTACTCTTGGCAACACTTCTGTTCAATCTACCACTCTGGGCACCACTTCTGCAGAAACTACTTCCCTTCTGTAGAAACTACTTCCCTTCTGTAGAAACTACTTCCCTTCTGTAGAAACTACTTCCCTTCTGTAGAAACTACTTCCCTTCTGTAGAAACTACTTCCCTTCTGTAGAAACTACTTCCCTTCTGTAGAAACTACTTCCCTTCTGTAGAAACTACTTCCCTTCTGTAGAAACTACTTCCCTTCTGTAGAAACTACTTCCCTTCTGTAGAAACTACTTCCCTTCTGTAGAAACTACTTCCCTTCTGTAGAAACTACTTCCCTTCTGTAGAAACTACTTCCCTTCTGTAGAAACTACTTCCCTTCTGTAGAAACTACTTCCCTTCTGTAGAAACTACTTCCCTTCTGTAGAAACTACTTCCCTTCTGTAGAAACTACTTCCCTTCTGTAGAAACTACTTCCCTTCTGTAGAAACTACTTCCCTTCTGTAGAAACTACTTCCCTTCTGTAGAAACTACTTCCCTTCTGTAGAAACTACTTCCCTTCTGTAGAAACTACTTCCCTTCTGTAGAAACTACTTCCCTTCTGTAGAAACTACTTCCCTTCTGTAGAAACTACTTCCCTTCTGTAGAAACTACTTCCCTTCTGTAGAAACTACTTCCCTTCTGTAGAAACTACTTCCCTTCTGTAGAAACTACTTCCCTTCTGTAGAAACTACTTCCCTTCTGTAGAAACTACTTCCCTTCTGTAGAAACTACTTCCCTTCTGTAGAAACTACTTCCCTTCTGTAGAAACTACTTCCCTTCTGTAGAAACTACTTCCCTTCTGTAGAAACTACTTCCCTTCTGTAGAAACTACTTCCCTTCTGTAGAAACTACTTCCCTTCTGTAGAAACTACTTCCCTTCTGTAGAAACTACTTCCCTTCTGTAGAAACTACTTCCCTTCTGTAGAAACTACTTCCCTTCTGTAGAAACTACTTCCCTTCTGTAGAAACTACTTCCCTTCTGTAGAAACTACTTCCCTTCTGTAGAAACTACTTCCCTTCTGTAGAAACTACTTCCCTTCTGTAGAAACTACTTCCCTTCTGTAGAAACTACTTCCCTTCTGTAGAAACTACTTCCCTTCTGTAGAAACTACTTCCCTTCTGTAGAAACTACTTCCCTTCTGTAGAAACTACTTCCCTTCTGTAGAAACTACTTCCCTTCTGTAGAAACTACTTCCCTTCTGTAGAAACTACTTCCCTTCTGTAGAAACTACTTCCCTTCTGTAGAAACTACTTCCCTTCTGTAGAAACTACTTCCCTTCTGTAGAAACTACTTCCCTTCTGTAGAAACTACTTCCCTTCTGTAGAAACTACTTCCCTTCTGTAGAAACTACTTCCCTTCTGTAGAAACTACTTCCCTTCTGTAGAAACTACTTCCCTTCTGTAGAAACTACTTCCCTTCTGTAGAAACTACTTCCCTTCTGTAGAAACTACTACCCTGGAAACAACATCTGCAGGACCCACTTCTGTAGAGACTACTACCCTTGAGTCCACTTTTACAGAAACTATTACCCTTGGTGCCACTTCTGCAGAAACTACTACTTTTGGCACTACTTCTGCAGAAACTACTACCTTTGGCACTACTTCTATAGAAACTACTACCCTGGAAAACACTACTGCAGAAACTACTACACTTGGCACCACTTCTGTTGAATCTACCACTCTGGGCACCACTTCTGCAGAAACTACTACCCTTGAATCCACTTCTGTAGAAACTACTACCCTGGAAAACACTTCTGCAGAAACTAGTACTCTTGGCAACACTTCTGTTCAATCTACCACACTGGGCACCACTTCTGCTGAAACTAGTACCCTTGGAGATGCTTCTTTTGAAACTACTACCCTGGAAACCACTTCTGCAGGATCCACTTCTGTAGAAACTACTACCCTTGGCACCACTTCTGTAGAAACGACTTCCTTTGAAACCACTTCTGCAGGACCCACTTCGGCAGAAACTACTACCCTTTGCACTACTTCTGCAGAATCTACAACTCTGGGAATCACTTCTCCAGAAACTACTGCCCTTGGCACCTCTTCTGCAGAATTTACTACCCTGGATACAGCTTCTACAGAAACTACTAATATTGGCACCACTTCTGCAGAAATGACTACCCTGGGCACAACTGCTGTAGAAACTACTACCCTAGAAACCACATATGCAGGGCCCACTTCTGCAGAGACTAATACACTTGGTACCACTTCTCTAGAATCTACCACTCTGGGCACCACTTCTCTAGAATCTACCACTCTGGGCACCACTTCTGCAGAAATTATTACCCTGGGCACAACTGCTGTAGAAAATACTACCCTGGGAACCACTTCTGTTGAATCAACAACTCTAGGCACCACTTCTGCAGAAACTACTACCGTTGGCACCACTTCTGCAGAAACTACTACCCTGGGCAAAACTTCTGTAGAAACTAGTACACTTCGCACCACTCCTTCAGAAACTAGTACCCTTGGCAGCACTTCTGCAGAAACTAGTATCCTTGGCACCATTTCTGTAGAAACTACTACCCTAGGCACAACTTCTGCAGGATCCACGTCTGCAGAAACTACTACCCTTGGCAGCACTTATGTAAAATCTATTACTCTGGGCACCACTTCTGCAGAAACTACTTCCCTTGGCACCACTTCTACAGAAACTATAGAAACTAGTACCCTTGGAACCACTTCTGTAGAAACTAGTACCCTTGGAACCACTTCTGTAGAAACTAGTACCCTTGGAACCACTTCTGTAGAAACTAGTACCCTTGGAACCACTTCTGTAGAAACTAGTACCCTTGGAACCACTTCTGTAGAAACTAGTACCCTTGGAACCACTTCTGTAGAAACTAGTACCCTTGGAACCACTTCTGTAGAAACTAGTACCCTTGGAACCACTTCTGTAGAAACTAGTACCCTTGGAACCACTTCTGTAGAAACTAGTACCCTTGGAACCACTTCTGTAGAAACTACTACCCTGGGCACAACTTCTGCAGAAACTAGTACCCTTGGAACCTTTTCCGTAGAATCTACTACCCTGGGCATAACTTCTGCAGAAACTAGTACCCTTGAAACAACTTCTTTACAATCTACTACCCTTGCCGCAACTTCTGCAGGACCCACTCCTGCAGACACTACTACCCTTGGTACCACTTCTGTAGAAAGTACTACCCTGGAGACCACAGCTGCAAGACTCACTTCTGAAGTAACTACTAACCTTGGCACCACTTCTGTAGAAACTACTACCCTGGGCATGAAGTCTGCAGAAACTAGTACTCTTGGCACACCTTCTGCAGAAACTACTACCCTGGGCACAACTTCTGCAGAAACTACTACCCTTGGCATTACTACTGTAGACTCTACAACCCTGGGCACCACTTCTGCAGAAACTAGTACTCTTGGCACACCTTCTTCAGAAACTAGTACCCTTGAAACCACTAATTTACAAACTACTAAACTTGTCGCAACTTCTGCAGGGCCCACTTCTGCAGAAACTACTCCCTTGGAAACCACTTCTGCAGAAACTACTATCCTGGGCAAAATGTCTGCAGAAACTACTGCCTTTGGCACCACTTTTATAGAAAATACTACCCTTGAAACCATTTCTGCAGGTCCCAGTTCTGCAGAAACTACCCTGCTCACCACTTCTGCAGAAACTTCTACCCTTGGCACTACATCTGTTGAATCTACCACTCTGGGCACCACTTCTGCAGGACCCACTTCTGGAGAAACCTCTACCCTGGGCAAAATGTCTGCAGTAACTACTACCTTTGGCACCACTTTTGTAGAAACTACTGGTCTTGGCACTACATCTGTTGAATCTACCACTCTGGGCACCACTTCTGCAGAGACTACTACCCTTGGCACCACTTCTGCAGAGACTACTACCCTTGGCACCACTTCTGCAGAGACTACTACCCTTGGCACCACTTCTGCAGAGACTACTACCCTTGGCACCACTTCTGCAGAGACTACTACCCTTGGCACCACTTCTGCAGAGACTACTACCCTTGGCACCACTTCTGCAGAGACTACTACCCTTGGCACCACTTCTGCAGAGACTACTACTCCTGGCACCACTTCTGTTGAATCTACCACTCTGGGCACCACTTCTGCAGAAACTAGTACCCTTGGAACCACTTCTGTAGAAACTACTACCCTGGGCACAACTTCTGCAGAAACTAGTACCTTTGGAACCTTTTCTGTAGAATTTACTACCCTTGGCATAACTTCTGCAGAAACTAGTACCCTTGAAACAACTTCTTTACAAACTACTACCCTTGCCGCAACTTCTGCAGGACCCACTCCTGCAGACACTACTACCCTTGGTACCACTTCTGTAGAAAGTACTACCCTGGAGACCACAGCTGCAAGACTCACTTCTGAAGTAACTACTAACCTTGGCACCACTTCTTTTGAATCTACCACTCTGGGCACAACTTCTGCAGAAACTAATTCCCTTGGAACCTTTTCTATAGAAACTACTACCCTTGAAACCACTTCTGTAGAAACTACTACTCTGGAATCCACTTCTGCAAGACCCACTTTTGGAGAAACCTCTACCCTGGGCAAAACGTCTGCAGTAACTACTACCTTTGGCACCACTTTTGTAGAAACTACTGGTCTTGAAACCAGTTCTGCCGATCTCAGTTTTGCAGAAACTTCTACTCTTGGCACTACATCTGTTGAATCTACCACTCTGGGCACCACTTCTGCAGAAACTAGTACCTCTGGCACCACTTCTGTAGAATCTAACACTCTGGGCACCACTTCTGCAGAAATTACTACCCTGGAAACCACTTCTGCAGCACCCTCTTCTGCAGCAAATAGTTTCTTTGGCACCACTTCTGCAGAAACTAGTACCTCTGGCACCACTTCTGTAGAATCTACCACTCTGGGCACAATTTCTCCAGAAACTACTACGTTTGTCGTTACTACTGTAGAATCTACAACTCTCGGCACCGCTTCTGCAGATACTAGTACCCTTGGCACCACTTCTGTAGAAACTACTACCCTGGGCACAATTTCTGCAGGAACTACTACGCTTGGCATTACTACTGTAGAATCTACAACCCTCGGAACCACTTCTGCAGAAACTAGTACCCTTGGAAACTTTTCTGTAGAAACTACTAGCATTGAAACCACTTCTGTAGAAACTACTATCCTGGGCACCACTTCTGCAGAAACTACTACCTCTGGCACCACTTCTGTAGAATCTACTATCCTGGGCACAACTTTTGTTGAATCTATTATCCTTGGCCCCACTTCTGTAGAAACTACTACCGTTGGCACCTCTTCTGTAGAAACTACTTCCCTTGGCACCACTTCTACAGAAACTACTACCGTTGGCACCTCTTCTGTAGAAACTACTTCCCTTGAAACTATTTCTGCAGGACCCACTTCTCCAGAAACTACTTCCCTTGGCACCACTTCTACAGAAACTACTACCGTTGGCACCGCTTCTGTAGAAACTACTTCCCTTGAAACTATTTCTGCAGGACCCACTTCTGCAGAAACTACTTCCCTTGGCACCACTTCTACAGAAACTACTACCGTTGGCACCGCTTCTGTAGAAACTACCATGGAAACCACTTCTGCAGGACCCACTTCTGCAGAATCTAGTACCATTGGCACCACTTCTGTAGAAACTAGTACCCTTGAAACCACTTTTGCAGAAACTACTTCCCTGGGCACAACCTCTGCTGAAACGACTACCCTTGGCACCACTTCTGTAGAAATTACTACTCTGGGCACAACTTCTGCAGAAGCTTCTACCCTTGGCACTACTACTGTAGAATCTACAACCCTGGGCACCACTTCTGCTGAAACTAGTACCCTTGTAACATTTTCTGTAGAAACTACTACCTTGGGCATAAAGTCTGCAGAAACTAGTACTCTTGGCACACCTTCTGTAGAAACTACTACCCTGGAAACCACAGCTGTACGGCACATTTCTGCAGAAACTACTACCCTGGGCACAACTTCTGCAGAAACTAGTACTCTTGGCACACCTTCAGAAACTATTACCCTTGAAACCACTAATTTACAAACTGCTACCCTTGTCGAAACTTCTGCAGGGCCCACTTCTGCAGAAACTACTCCCTTGGAAACCACTTCTGCAGAAACTACTATCCTGGGCAAAATGTCTGCAGAAACTACTGCCTTTGGCACCACTTTTATAGAAAATACTACCCTTGAAACCACTTCTGCAGGTTCCAGTTCTGCAGAAACTACCCTGCTCACCACTTCTGCAGAAACTTCTACCCTTGGCACTACATCTGTTGAATTTACCATTCTGGGCACCACTTCTGTAGAAACTAGTACCATTGGAACCACTTCTGTAGAAACTACTACCCTGGGCACAACTTCTGCAGAAACTAGTACCCTTGGAACCTTTTCTGTAGAAACTAGTTCCCTGGGCATAACTTCTGCAGAAACTAGTACCCTTGAAACCAATTCTTTACAAACTACTACCCTTGCCGCAACTTCTGCAGGAGCTACTACTCTGGGCACAATTTCTGCAGAAACTACTACGCTTGGCATTACTACTGTAGAATCTACAACCCTCGGCACCACTTCTGCAGGAACTAGTACCCTTGGCACCACTTCTGTAGAAACTACTAGCCTGGGCACAATTTCTGCAGAAACTACTACGCTTGGCATTACTACTGTAGAATCTACAACCCTCGGCACCACTTCTGCAGAAGCTAGTACCCTTGGAAACTTTTATGTAGAAACTACTAGCATTGAAACCACTTCTGTAGAAACTACTATCCTGGGCACCACTTCTGCAGAAACTACTACCTTTGGCACCACTTCTGTAGAATCTACTATTCTTGGCACCACTTCTGTAGAAACTACTATCCTGGGCACCACTTCTGCAGAAACTACTACCTTTGGCACCACTTCTCTAGAATCTACTATTCTTGGCACCACTTCTGTAGAAACTACTATCCTGGGCACCACTTCTACAGAAACTACTACAGTTGGCACCTCTTCTGTAGAAACTACCATGGAAACCACTTCTACAGGACCAACTTCTGCAGAATCTAGTACCCATGGCACCACTTCTGTAGAAACTAGTACCCTTGAAACCTCTTCTGCTGGTCCCAGTTCTGCAGAAACTACCCTGCTCACCACTTCTGCAGAAACTTCTACCCTTGGCACTACATCGGTTGAATTTACCACTCTGGGCACCACTTCTGCAGAAACTAGTACCCTTGGAACCACTTCTGTAGAAACTACTACCCTGGGCACAACTTCTGCAGAAACTAGTACCCTTGGAACCTTTTCTGTAGAAACTACTACTCTGGGCATAACTTCTGCAGAAACTAGTACCCTTGGTACTACTTTTGTAGAAAGTACTACCCTAGAGACCACAGCTGCAAGACTCACTTCTGAAGTAACTACTAACCTTGGCACCACTTCTTTTGAATCTACCACTCTGGGCACAACTTCTGCAGAAACTACTTCCCTTGGAACTTTTTCTGTAGAAACTACTACCCTTGAAACCACTTCTGTAGAAACTACTATCCTGGGCACCACTTCTGCAGAAACTACTACCTTTGGCACCACTTCTGTAGAATCTACTATTCTTGGCACCACTTCTGTAGAAACTACTATCCTGGGCACCACTTCTACAGAAACTACTACCCTTGGCACAACTCCTGCAGAAACTACTACCCTTGGCACAACTCCTGAAGAAACTACTAATCTGGGCACCACTTCTGTAGAAAATA